TTGTTTCATGTTTAATAATCCCAGCACCAATTTGTTAACTGTATGTTAAAAGGCACAAAAAATAACGGTTTGCCTTCCACATACATAATAAAGTAACAGGATTTCAGCTGCCAGCCTTGCATGATTCTTAGAGGCCAAGTACAGTAGTTGGTGGTTTTTTTGTGATCCAATAAAGGCATTCCTAAACCCAGAACTTTGCTTCTCCAAATGTTTGTGTTTTTAAAAAGAAAATGTTCTCTTTAGACTGGGGGGGGGAGATTTTTTTTAAACTACAACTCCCAGAAACAGCCATGATGCGTAACAGAGGGGGAAAAAATTACAAATCAGTATATGCATGCAAGTGACTTTTTAGAAGCCTCCTGATGTGCACACACGCCATGAATGAAAGCAATTCACACAAGCATAGCTCCTTACTTTACTACTATGCTGTTGCAGCAGTTTTTAATGTTAACTTTTGACCTGTACGCAATTCACGGATCAGGATGGTGAGAGACTGCACGTACCTGCCTCCTGCTGCACAGAAAAAAAAACAGATAGATAAGGCTGTTGACAGAAAAGAGTCTAATCACATGAACTTTCTGTCAAAGCTTTTCATCAAATAAAACAATGCCCTGCTGCCTCCCCCACCATTCCCAAAAGTTAAAACCTCCCTTTTGGACAACAGACAGGTGTTGCTCTTCTTCAGAACTTAACCTATTTTATACTTTATTTTCTTGTTGTGTTTATCCAGGATTACTTCTTTTTAGTTTGCACAGGGGAACATATCACATTACTTTTTAAAGGCCTGGGTGTGTTCTTACTAATCACACCCATGCTGAACACTGAAATGATAAAATGGGATAAAACCAGTACAGGCAAGGAGGTGGTGAAGAGTAAGACATGCATGAGCAGAAAAACTCACAAAACATTTGCTTTATGAACTTCAGCTCTGGTCTACCCATATTTACAGAAGTATTTCCAGTATGAAAAGTCAAGCCCTTACCTCTCTTTAAAATTATAATCTTTTAGACACTGCAAGTGTAAATGGAAAGAGGATTATTTGAGGTGGAGTCAATCTAGGGAAGGAGATTATCAACAATACAAGTGGCAAAACATATGGTGGGAACATATTAATTGATTAATTTGAGTCCCTCAATTTAAAACACACTGTATTCTTAGTTAATTAAAATATCCCACCCATTTAGACAAACATTACAGATGAAGACTTCCATGCAGCACTGAAGTCTTACTGGGCAAGTGTTTATATAAAATAATACTCCTTAAAATTGATACAGTATTACCTTAATCTATGATTCCACAATGAATAGAAGATTGATGGTTTGCAGCTGAATTTTTTTCTTCATTTTTTAAGGTTGCCAGTTACTGACATTTTCAAACAACTTTTGATAAGCTTCTGGGTAACCCTAAGATTCCTCCAAACAAATCTTGAAAGTGACATCAGATGAAGTCACAAAACATGAACATCAGTCCACCCCAGAATGTCATGGACACGTCTGTTTTTTGGAGTAGGGCAAAACACATACTAAGATTCCTGCCCCCATTCCTTTAAGCGACTATGGATATGCTATGCATCATGTTACAGCTATGCTACACATAAAACTTTTGTAAAATTACAAGATCTTACAACTAGAAAGTTCTTTTAGTAGGAAATGAACTGCATATGGTCCAGTATATGAGTATCAGGTAAACAGACTTTATGGTAGCAGTTATATTCAACATTAGAAGGAGTTCAGGCATTGTAATTTACTGGGCAAAAGTATAAACAAATAAATTTATTCTAGCTAAAGCAGGAGGAGGAAAGCGATGACAATCCTAGACAGCATCTTAAAAAGCAGAGACATCACCTTGCCGACAAAGGTCTGCATAGTCAAAGCTATGGTTTTTCCAGTAGCGATGTATGGAAGTGAGAGCTGGAGAAGGCTGACCACCGAAGAACGGATGCTTTTGAATTGTGGTGCTGGAGGAGACTCTTGAGAGACGCCTGGACTGCAAAGAGAACAAACCTATCCATTTTGAAGGAAATCAACCCTGAGTGCTCACTGGTTGTTTGCAGAGGAAGCACAGAATCCTGTTGTACTATCCTGAAATTTAGAATAGGATTTCGCTCTAGTGCCAGTTTTTCCTTCCACATGTATAGTGCAGTTGCATTAAGCAGGGAGGTCATATTGTGGGATAAGGTGGAGAAAGTCTAGATTTGTCAGTGTACCTGCAACACTGCAGTCCTTCAGATCCTGAAGCTGAGGCTCCAACACTTTGGCCATCTGATAGGAAGAGAAGACTCATTGGAAAAGACCGTGATGCTGGGAAAGTGTAAAAGCAAGAGAAGGGGACTGCAGAGGACGAGATGGATGGACAGTGTCATCAAAGCTAACAACATGAATTTGATCAAACTCCGGGAGGCAGTGGAAGACAGGAGGGCCTGGTGTGCTCTGGTCCATGGGGTCACAAAGAGTAGGACACAACCAAAGAACTAAAAAACAACAACAAAAAGCAGGAGACCTGTACCAATATAACAATACTGTAGGAAAGCTGGCTAGATAGCTTAGTGGTTTAGGTATCTGGCTGTAGAACCTGAAGTTGGGAGTTCAATTCCCTATGGTGCCTCCTGGAAGTACAGCCAGTCTATGTGGCCTTGGGGAAATTGCAGTTGCAGGGGAACACTCCTCAGAAGGATATGGTAAACCACTTCTGAATATTCTGTACCTGAAAAACCATGAAAAAGATGAGCATAAATCAGAATTTATCTGACAGCACAGGATGATTATTATATGCTTGGTGGAATCTCATAGGCACATGTTGCACCTGATTGCTGTGTAGAATGTTTGCAGACATCTTTACTCTCAAAAACTGAAGGGCTGCAGTGTTGCAGGTACACTGACAAATCTAGACTTTCTCCACCTCACAATATGACCTCCCTGCTTAACGCAACTGCACTATACACGTGGAAGGAAAAACTGGCACTAGAGCGAAATTCTATTCTAAATTTCAGGATAGTGAACATCTTTACTCCCAAAAACTGAAGGATAGTACAACAGGATTCTGTGCTTCCTCTGCAAACAACCCAACATATACACCATATAGAATGAACAGGCCAATTGGCTCAGACAGTTAATCCTGGGGCAGAAAACAGCATACTAACTCAAAACAAATATTCGATTACTGTTCAACAACTAGCTCAGAAATACTTTCCACCCCTTAAAACTCCAGCTTTTCTGATGCAGTACGTTGCAAATGTTTACACTGAAAACCTGAAGCACAATATGACCTCCCTGCTTAACGCAACTGCACTATACACGTGGAAGGAAAAACTGGCACTAGAGCGAAATTCTATTCTAAATTTCAGGATAGTGCAACAGGATTCTGTGCTTCCTCTGCAAACAACCCAACATATACACCATATAGAATGAACAGGCCAATTGGCTAAGACAGTTAATCCTGGGGCAGAAAACAGCATACTAACTCAAAACAAATATTCGATTACTGTTCAACAACTAGCTCAGAAATACTTTCCACCCCTTAAAACCCCAGCTTTTCTGATGCAGTAGCTGAAGTACTAATATGTTGCAAATGTTTACACTGAAAACCTGAAGTATAATACACTTTTTTAAAAGTATTTGCTACAAAAGACTCGGGATCAGTACTATATTGGTGACATGCCAGTGCGAAAGTTTCAGTGCAAATGTATAGCTTCTCCTAAAGCTGGCTTTTGACCAACGGGAGGCAGTGGAAGAAAGGAGGGCCTGGCGTGTTCTGGTCCATGGGGTCACGAAGAGTCGGACACAACTAAACAACAAACAACAAAAAACTGACTGGTTTCGGACCTGGATGCAGAAGCCAGAGGTTGGAAATTAATTCCCCACTGTGCCTCCTGTGAATACAGCCACTGGGGAATTAATTTCCAACCTCTGGCTTCTGCAGCCAGGTCCGAAACCAGCCAGCTTTTTGTTGTTTGCTGTTTAGTCATTTAGTCGTGTCCAACTCTTCGTGACCCCAAGCTGTGCAGTCCCAGGATACCCCTAGAATGGAATGGTAAACCACTTCTGATTATTCTCTATGTGGAAACCCCTGAAAAACGTTGTCATAAGTGACTTCAGAACTGGCTTCATGGCGTCGGCGTCGTTTAGTCGTGTCCGACTCTTCATGACCCCATGGACCAGAGCACGCCAGGCCCTCCTATCTTCCACTGCCTCCCAGAGTTGGGTCAATTTCATGTTGGTTTCTTCGCAGACATTGTCCAGCCATCTCATCCTCGGTCGTCCCCTTCTCCTCCTGCCTTGATGGCACATTATTGCTACAGTATTATTAAACTGTCACTTCCCAGATATTTTGACTACAACTTACATCATCCTGACCAACTATTAGTCACTGAAAGTTGACTATTCTGAGTAAGCTAACTAATCATCACAGAATATTAATCAGCTACAGTATTTCCAGATAGGTATAGAGAGCATTCAGCGCTTATTCTTGAACATCTGATAAGTATAAAATATGCTGCTCAACAGATAAGGCCTGAAAACATCTGATTACAAGATTTCATAGTAGAGAAATCCAAACATGCAGTAACCCTGCCCTTCCCCCGGTTAAACAGTTCAAACTGGCTAGTTCCCCCACAGCCCCCCTTATTAGGTACTTACTTGTGCATTAAAATGTTACTTTTCAACAAAGGTTCTATCGGAAATGAAAACTATCTATGTTGACCTTTTCCGATTTTTAAAAAAACACACGTAAAGGAACACAAAAACAGACACTTAAAAAAAAAAGACAGGGAAGCAGTGCTTTAATAAAAATTTCAAAAGGGATATGAAAGGAATAGCTCTTTAATCTTTGAACCAGTGCCAACTCGCGAGTCGCAGGCTCTTTTACAAGCCTTGCTCTCCCCATCAAGCACGTCTCCAGCCTGCAGATTCTTGCAGACCTAAGTTATTTAGAGCCCCTTTATCAACATTCCCAAAAAAGATTTAAATCTCCTGCGAACTTCCCCGGGGGGGGGACCTACACACCTCCTCGAGGAACTTGGTGAGGTCATAGACGCGGTTGTGCAAAATGATCCAAGTGCTCTGGCTGTGGTTCTTCTGCTTGATCTCCTCCAGCGTATAGTAACGGCCCCGCCACGACTCGTTCCCACACTTGTTCTCGCCGCCCGTCTCCGCCATCGCCGCTGCCTCTCCGCTTCCCTTCTCTTTCGCCTTACCCTGGATTGCAAACAACCAGCCCAACCCTGAGCGCACTCGCGGCCGCTGCCAGAGACACTCACTGTACCGATCTCAGTGGAAGTGGAACTTCTGTCCCAGCAAGCCTCTTACCTCCGCCGCGCACGCGCAGTTGAGGTCTTCGGGCTGACGACAGGGTCAGAACGCAGCGCCCTCTCCTGACGGCAGAAAGGAGGGGCAACGGAACGCTTCCTTGCTTCTCATTGGGCCTCGTGGGACGCTTTCGCAATTCTTTTGACAGCGCGAATACGAGGCGCGCGCCGGGTTCCAAGAAACTTGCAGGCTGTCCTCTTTCGATAAAGAAAGCTGGGATGGCGGAATGGAGTCAGCGGGGGTTATCTGCGCTGACGTGAGGAAGCGGACACAAAAACTTAAGATATACTGTACCCGCTGCTATGTCAGCTTAGGGGATATTGGACCCAAATGGTTTCCCTTCTCGCGGACTGACTGTCTTATCGCCTGTTGTCAAAAAATTCCAAACAAGAGTCCTATGACTTCCTACAAGTTTATTGTGGCATTAAAGGGGAGGGGGGAAAGCTAATATTAGTAGCTACTTTGACGTGCCTGAGAAAGTGGATTTTGATTCACAAAAAGACTGGAATTGAAAGAAGTCTACATTGTGCCTTTGCTCCCTCCCCCCACCGGTAGAAATTTTCCTCCCGTTTCCCACCCACCCACCGTTTAATTTTGTTAGTGTGCTGAGACAGACTACACCGTAGGGAAAAGGCGCTTTAAACCGTATTTCTCAAATTAGGTGTGGGCTGGTTTCTGCAGGTAAAATCGCCGTGCCGGTCCGGCTGGCCAAGCTGTGTTTCCACGGACCACTAGAAGCAGAAGCTGCTTTTGATCGGACGAGGTGTTGCTTGCTAATTTGTACCCCTCCTTTTTAATCCCCCCCAAGTGAGCGATAGTCTGTTGCCCCACTGACTTGAAGGTCTCTTTTTAAAAAAGAAACACCGTCATTGGTGACAACAGAAGCAGACTCCTTAATTAATTATTCTCACACAGTGAAGGATTGCAGTGTCCCAGACGCGATTAGTCGCCGCAGAAAGCAGAGAAAAGCGATGCCAGCCAATTGGAGGAAAAATAAACCACCCCCGCTGGCTGGAAAAAAAAATCCTCCACTGGAAAACAAAAATGTGGTTCCAGGCTTTCCCACATTGAGCTTTTTGTTGTATATTTGCCATTTTACAATTCAATTTCATCTGTGCCTAATCTGATATGGCCAATGCATTTGCCGCCTAACACAGCTACCTCTTTGGAAACCAGATTTCTTGGCAAGGTTGGATGTTATGTTTATTAGACCACTAAAAAAATCACAAACATAAGGTAGCTTTCAATCTTGTATAGGTCTTCATCAGGATGGGCACCACAGAGCTAGACGGCAATGCAGAAGAAACATAAACGTTCTAAAATCATGTCCAGGATGTGTAGGCCAGGCTCCTTCATTTAAAGCAAATTTCAAAATGGCAGGCCCAGGTCGAAGGTGTAGGTGTCAGATGTTACCTCTGGTGATGTGAATTAGAATGTTTCTTGCAGTGTTATTAAAAAGAGGATTGTCAGTCCTTCAGCACACCATCACCACCCCTGCCCTATATGGAAACACATGGTTCCTTTTTGACTAGGAACATAGACAAACAGAAACATGGCAACCCTTGCCTTCTGACTGTGTGCATGGCTGGGAACATTGTTTAGAAGTCTTCAGGTGATGGTGCCACAAAATACCTAAAATGTAAGTCTAGTTTATGAATTCTACAGCAAAGTGTGATTCTACAAGACTGCATGGTTATGCTCTTTATTTTTGTACTTCGCTGCCCTACATACTGTATTTTGTGTAAAGATGGTGTATAAACATTTCAAGATACACAGTTCAGTGTTGATTAGTTAAAGGTAAAGGTAAAGGTTCCCCTTGACAATATGTCCAGTCTTGTCCGACTCTAGGGTGTGGTGCTCATCCCCATTTCCAAGCCGTAGAGCCAGCATTTGTCCGAAGACAGTTTCCGTGGTCAAATAGCCAGCACGACTAGACACGGAACACCATTACCTTCCCACTGTATGGTACCTATTTATCTACTCGTATTTTGCATTTTGCATGCTTTTGAACCACTAGGTTGGCGGGAGCTGGGACTGTAGTATACACTCTACTATATCAAAGTTTATGCTATAATAAATGAAATAGTCTCTAAGATGCCACAAAATGGATGTGTATATATTTTTTTTCTATCTAGGACTTAGTTTTACTGCATGGGGTTATGCAACCTCCACAATTTATAACAGTAATAGTTATATTACTCTCAGTTGAGGAGCTATGAAATTGATCTCTCCCAAAGCTTCTTTTGATTAAACTTTTCTAGTAAATCATTTACATGAGAATAAGCTCCACTGGATTGAACAGGGTTTTTTCTGTGAAGACATGTACAATGGCAGTGAGCAAGTATGGTTGAAAATCCAAATGGCAGGTTAGTTTGTATGATTTTTATATAAAAATATGTGCACCTTATAACCTGTAATTGCACCCCATTATCAAATTAGAAAATTGATATAACTCAACTATGACATGTGTACTCGTCATTTAAATATTTTTTAACTCAGAAGAGCTACAGTATTATTTATTTTATTTATAGACCACTTTTCCCCCAATAAGGTGACCTAATGCAGCTCACAATATTAAAAATAATAGAATTAAAAACATAATATGTTAAACATTAAAAATGATTAAGCTATACACTAATTAAAATACAATTGAGTAATTAAAAGCAAGCAAACATTAAAAATTATCTTAACCAATGTACCCTCTAATTCTCAGCCCCACTGGGAGGGGCTCTGCCTCTATCGCTCATGACTTTACCCCTGCGCGTACATGCACCTATGCCTCACACACACACGAGGTTCTGTCACAACAGGAACCAAAGGGGCTGAAAACAATCACAGTGCAAAGGATAAGGAAAACTGCACAGAAGAAAACAGTCACGCAGATGCACCCTTAGAGGGAAGCTTGATCTTAACTTTAAAAAGGCATTCAGGGACTCAGTCATGATTGTTAAAAGCCTGCCTGAAAAGATGGGTCTTCAGCTGTTGGCAGAAGGATAAAAGGGAAGAGGCCAACCTGATCTCCGGAGGGAGAGCATTCCACAGTTCATGTCCCCATCCACTATGCCTGTGCTGGCAATGGGACCAAGAGCAGGGCCTCCTCTGACAATCTTAAACACAGAGAAAGCTCATCTGGGAAGATAAAGGTCCTTTCAGGTAGCCTGGACTCAGGTTGTATAGGGCTGCACAAAAATATATACACTTTTCCCTTCAACAATGCTGGGGTCAGGGGAACTGGATCCTTGTGTAGTTCAAAATCCATTTACAACTCTTATGGCTCCAAAAATGTAACTACAAAGCATAAACAGTTGATTAAAGTACACACACCAGAGAGAGAGAGAGAGAGAGAGAGAGAGAGAGTTCCTACAGTGTGTATTTTCTTCTTTCATTTCCCAGCAATTTACACTTTAGGGGAGTTCCAGATGCAGGATGCATGTAACATTAAATGGGTGGCTGCAATAGGCTGAAAATGGGCCTGCTTTATTGTCTGTTCTGCTTTACTTCAAAATCAAAAGTGAAGAACAAAGAAGCAGTATCACCTTGGTGAGATATTTCCCTAAATATCTTTGATAAAAGGATTAAAACCAGTTCACACCCAATTGTGCAAGTATGAACTGATTGTTCTACAAGCTTGATTTAATTTAAAGATAACCTAAACATTTTGTTATGCCATCATTCATCCTAGGTTGGCTCTGCTTGTATCAGAATTCTGAATGGGAATTTCAAGAAGAATTTGCTTAGTGAAAGGAAATCATGGAACTTTACCTAGCCTAAAAAATTTTTTTCAGTAGGCTGATCAGTGTGTTTACTCTCCCTGGGTTTTAGAAAGGAACAGGAAGTTGTGAAGGAATCAAAAGAGAGTTCCTGGGCATACCTCATATTTTTATTCTACAACCCACCCCCACTTCTGTTTAAGATATGTGCTTCAGAGAAGTATAAATAGCAGGGTCACTGGGCCAGTTTTAAGGTGCATTCACTTTTGCATGATGCTGTTCTTGATCGCATTTATGCTTCATTGTATTCAAGATTTCGTTAGATATTACGCAACCATACGTTTTTAATGTGTGCTTTTCCTTCATCTGCTTACTTCAGCATTAAGTGTTGAGTGATTTGGATGACCTGCCACAGAACAAAACAGTCTTGGAAGAATTTTGACTGCATATCATTTCCAACACAATTCAGCCATCAGGTCAAGAGAAGAGAAATTGACGCATTTGAAGCAATAATAGCATAACCATGAGAAATCCACACATTTTCTTAATTATAGAGATCACACAAAGGATATAGATTCTTTTTACATATTGGCCAAAATCCTCTTTTGTAGACACACAAATGGTGCAACTTTTGGAGGTGGATTGGCTCAAACTGAGAAACTGCCACCCCCTCTTGGATGCAAACATTAACATAAATAAATGAACATTGTAAGGGTGCTTGAGTGTGTCTAGAGCAGTGATGGCGAATCTATGGCATGCGTGCCACAGCTGGCACACAGAGACCTCGCTGTGGGCACACGAGCTGTAAGTCGCTGAATCACTACCCCCAGCAGCCAAACCTGAGGTGGTGGTTGCAGCTGCAGTGCTGGCACACCAACAGGCAGTGGGCCAGGATCCAGAGCAGCTGGCGCTAGTGGTGGATCCGGAGTGGGGTCTCGAGACATCATTAGTTAGCAGCAATTCATCACAGCGAGTTACATAAATCACCAACACAATTAGGGCTGTTATTTCTTGTCCTCCTGTTTCATTTCCCTTATAGCTAGGGCTAGTTTAGTGCAACCACAGTTGGCGGTTCAGTTGTCACTACAGTCTGAATCTGGCAAATCTTCAATTTATCACAAACATGAGGGTGCTAATGAGATGGGTAAGAGAGGCAATCAAGCTCAAAAAGGTTCGCCATCACTGGTCTAGAGAAACCAAGAGCTATCCATGTCTGGACTCTTATTAGGGCCACTCAATGTAAAATGGTCAAAATTGAAATATGAAACTAAGAGGCACCCACTCTTTTCTGGATTAACCAATACATCAGCAGAAAATAATAGATCCAATGCTAATAGGGTGGAAAAATTTCTAAAAGGCAGCTACTAGGCAACAGTGATAGTTAAAGGTGACACTGGTGGAGGTTCTTTCATAGACAAGGCCAGGACATTTTGGAAGTTAGTACTCATTCACAAGATTGGCATAAATCAAAGGACAGCACATAACAGATTTCCCATGGTTATGATACCTTATTTTTCAGTACTATGATGCTACAGTTGCTACAAATACATCAATATCTCTTCTCTTGACTTGATGGGTGACTTAGACAATTCAGTATGCAACTGATGATGTCTACAGTAATTTCTTGACTCTGGGCAATTCGTGCTAATTACTAGGTAAGAAGACTTGAGCCGAAAGAAAAAGAAAAACCTGATTTGGAAAATTAAACAATGGAAATGTTAATGCCAGCATTACTAGGTAAGACGACTTGAGCCGAAAGAAAAAGAAAATCCTGATTTGGAAAATTAAACAATGGAAATGAGCAGCTAAACTCCAAAATGATGGTTATCTCATGAAGAAGAGGGAGGAGCCAATATGCAGTTTACAGCTTTGAAAATTTTCAAGAGAAATAATCTTATAAAATAAGGTACAGCTCTTGGCAAAATGGTGCTAACTTATTAACAGGAACTTCCAGCAAAATGGCTGTACCAGTCAAAGCTTTTTAAAGCTTGTCCTTTATCCTTTGTTATTTTCTCTGAGTTTCCCATTGTGGGTGGGACAGTGACAGCAACAAAATCAGGGAAGCAAAAAAGGAGGAACAAGGAGGTTTGGGGGGGAGAGAAGAACCATAAGCTGCAAAAGGAATTGGGGGGTGGATCAGAGGAGGAAGACATTGTTAAGGGACTTGGAATAATGGACATTAGAGCAGTGGTTCTTAACCTTTGTTACTCGGATGTTTTTGAACTGCAACTCCCAGAAACCCCAGCCAGCACAGTTGGTGGTGAAGGCTTCTGGGAGTTGCAGTCCAAAACTCCTGAGTAACCCAAGGTTAAGAACCAGGGCATTAGAGGACCAATCAGTGCTGCATGAGTTTCTTTTCTTTCTCTCAGAACTCAAGGCCCTTAATACTAGCATCTGAAATGTTGTATTTCAGTGTGAGCTTCTGAGGATAAATTAACTTTGTCAGACAAGAAGCCTGGGGCTTGCAAGGACATCTATAATAGAACCAGGAAATATTCTCAAATTCACAGCTATGGCACTGAAGACCAAGACCATTCCACCAAAGGTATTCCCAATTGCTATATACCAGAGGTGAAAGCTAGACAAGGAAGGAGGCTAATAATAATAATTTAAAAACCCCGATTCAAATGTGCTGTTAATGAAGTACGGTACTTTATAGGTAGACAAACAAATAAATGAGTCCTGATCAAGAGAAATTATCCATAACGTCCCTTCCAGCTCTGCAATCCTAAAATGCAATAATAATTTAAAAAACCCGATTCGAATGTGCTGTTAATGAAGTAGTGTACTTTATGGGTAGACAAACAAATAAATGACTCCTGATCAAGAGAAATTATCCATAAAGTCCCTTCCAGCTCTGCAATCCTAAAATGATGATGACTGAATTAAGGCTGAACTCTTACTCGAAGTCAAAAGAGTGCATTGAGGCGACTGTACTTTGAACGTAGCGTCGGAAGACAAGATTCAGCGGGTCCTTTGGGGCTAAGGTCATTACGTGCTGCTGGGCGGTGGAAAAGGGAACGCCTCTCTCTTTCACTTCTTTCAACAGACTATTTGAGCAACTCCAGAGGTGTGCTTCATGAAATGCAAGGAAAGGTTTCGCCGAACATTTTGCTAAATTAAGTGACTATCCACTATCCGCCGTGAGCCCCCGTCACGAGCTTTCCTTCTTTCCAGTCCAAAGGCGGGAAAACCGAGTCCGGGGGTGAGAAAGGCGCTCCCGCGGTCCTGCCCCGCAAAAAAGACGAGGGGGCAAAGGAAAAGGGGTGGAAAGGTTAAGCATTGTGAGTAACGTGTAATAGTAAAGGAGCTGCTTTTCCTTCTCTTCGTCAGGTCGAAGAGCAAAACCCCGTTTTCTTTCTTTTCCCTGGCCGCTCGCAGTCTGTACCGTCCCAGAGTTCCCTCAGGCCTCCGCAGGGCAATCTTTCTTGGAAATTGTCTGCCAGCAGCAGGTGCTCGGCGTCTTTGTCCTTCACTTTGTGCCTAGTGCTGCTGTTACATGAGGACATTTTACTGCGAAGTACTGTACTTATATACTTAGAATTCTTATTAGGACGGTTCATTTCATAGACACTGGTTGTTCACCACAAGCTGGCTTTTATTTACTCATAGCACAACTCAGATCCACATAAGATGCCCTGGTGTTTACAATGCAGTCAAACTGGGCAAAGGGGAATGTGCTTTGTTTTATTTTATTTTTTACGAGAACAAAACGAGCATGATTTTGTGACAAGCGTCTCGGTTCGAGCACGCGTGTACACTGCATGTTTTCTCTTTTTTGCTTAAGGATTGTCAGCACTGTTGTGTGTGCAAATCGACTCATTTACAGCCATATGCCTCTGTCTCTGTCGTGTTTATCTCTGCAGTGGCTTATCACACACAAATCGTCAATAGGAGTTGCAAAAGTGATACATGAACTAAGAGATTGATTGCCTCAGAGTCATCTTTGTGGGAGAACAAGCCAAACTTCCGTGAATCACTCACTGAAAATAAAAGCAAGTCTTTCAGCTTTTATTTTCAGACTCAAGCAAGTCAAGTCTTTCAGCTTTTATTTTCAAGCAAGTATTTCAGCTTTTCTCCCCTTTTTCTCAGCTTTAGGACAGACGGTAGGGGAGGAAATAATGAGGGAAAAGCTTGCATAAATGTCAAAGAGCTAATTTTGTAATAACATTTACTAATACTGAAATGAGGATGAGGGATTTTCAACAGCTCTTTCATGCCACAGCCTCAAGATAAATGTTCCTTCCAGGCCTCTGGTTAGTTTTTCACAGGAAATAACTTCTAAAAGGACAACACATTAAAACACGCAAAGCTTTTCATCTAGTACTCTTCAGCAAATTGTGGTAATTACTATTAGTGAGAATGTAACCGGTGGTAATAATTACAATGAGAATGAGTGCAAGCAAATAATAATAGGAATATTCAGTCATCTACAGTATATGCAACATTATTTTGTCATATGTTTAAATACTAACTGTCAGAGCAGGTTTTGGTGCAAGCAACAGGGTAACGTCAGTAAATAGTTCATATATTGCTTTTGTCTCTTATTTGATATATATAACAACCAGTATGCTGTACTGGCTAAAAGTGTTGAATTAGAACTTAGAAAACCTTACTTCAAATCACCACTTAAACATGAAATTCATTGGACCTGTCACATTTTCTAAACCTGGTCCTACTTGCCAGGGTTGTTGTGAGGATAAAGTTGCAGGAGGAGAACAAATGCGCCTTTGGTTCTTTGGAGTAAAGATGGGATGTGACTAAATAAATATTATGAAGGAAAGTTCTAAAAACCCTCAAATATCACCTGATGTGAAGGTATTAGATTTCACTTGAAGTAATCCATTTCACCCTGATGAAGCCACATAAAAATACCAGCAGGTCCTCCTATTACATCTAAAGACATTGCAGATTATGTTTGATTAAGAGCTTTGTGCTCTTGAAAAAAACATACGCTTTTTTGCCTTTTTGATTGGCTTAATAGGGATAATGCTGGCTCAGTATGGATTAGGGATTGCTTGATGTTTAACATAGTCGCTTCTGCTTTTGTTTGTTGGACAGTAATCTGACATTTTAATTCCTGGGGTCAGTGGTTAAATTCTTTTACAGTAGTAGGATTCCATTTAAAATAATGAATGAACTGTTGGATGTTTCTGAAGATCATTAATAGAGTTTATTTTACAAAAAATGGGATCAAAATATTTAGAGTAAATAAGAAATACATAGACAGAAATATAGGAACAGGAGCATAACTATAATATAGACCTAAGTAAAATAAATGTTACAGCTCATATCTTTTCCCAGCTCCCTTTCACCATTTTCTCTTCCTCTCTCTCTAAATGTACAGCTCAGCCACACACATTCTCAACCTGCTATCTCTCCTATGTGGCCATTCTAGAGGTTCCTATCAAGCTTGCTCTTAGAGAGATCTTACGAGCTCCATTAAGAAGCAGCCACATCAAAAATTTTGGAAGAACTGAATGAAAGTCAAGAAAGATGGGGAAAGTGGAAGGTGCAATGCCATACCATTGTGTGGCGAGAGCTTAGCAAAAGTCACATACTTTAAAAACCTAGACTTGCTTGATTTTTGAAGGGAAAATTACAATTCCACTTTCAAGTTCCACTTACAAATCCACAGTTACAGTTGCATTGGCAAATTACAGTATGAGAGTGTTAATCTGTAGTTCTAGGAACATTCTACAGTATATAGAATTACCGTAAGAGGCAAACTCTTTTTTCAGGGTTAGGAAAAGGGCATTTTATAGGCTTTTGCAGGCCTTTTAGGGAGGGAGTAATTTCAGGAAGGGGCAAGAGAAAAAGACTCCATTATCTCTCTCTGGCTTTACCTTACTGTACTAGAAACCTCAGGTTTGGGACAGGCTGCATTTCAACATACAGTATTGAAAATTATTCTAGAGATTGGGAAGCAGGATATTTGGGCTTCTTCTTTTCCTTCCACCTCTCTGTACAGTACAGAATGAGTGATTCCCATATCTCCCCCACCCCTTCCCCATCCAGTGCCCAGTTTCTTTGTATTTCCCATCACTTGACACCTCAACATGTCACACAACCTAGAACATTGCAGGTCATTCTTAAGCTGTTTTTATTTAATTCTTTAAATTGTAGTTTATAACTATACATAGTTTTCCCTGTACAGGAACTATTCGCCTGTGTATACAGAATATTACTATATTTTTGCACAGTCCTGTTTTGCTTCCAAACCAATAGGCAGGTATATACGGTAGCTACCCATGTTTGATATTAGAAGGGATCAGTAGAACACACTGGGCTTTACTGGACCATCAGCCCTAGCCAGCATAGCTGTGAGGAAATAGTTCACATAGCTGCCCGGTGTTCTAATATTAATTTATCTTAGAGTCTCATACATTTTTGCTGATCAGTTTATTTTCTTATACCAGGTTACTCTGCAGTGGTTAACAAAATAACATGAATGACGTAAGACGCCAATCTCTGTTTTTCATCCGTCTACCTGAGCTGCAAAAACTTTGTGCTGTGAAGGTGACAGTATGTTCTCAGCTGGCGGTTACTGAAATTAGAACAGCACAGAGGAGGATGTGCAGGTAAAGGAAATAAGCTTATTGCATTATTGCCACATAACAGTCCTGATTAAGGTCAGAGTTGATTCATTAAAAAAAATGAAAACAAGATAATGTATTATTAAGTTACTTACCCATGGTTATATTGCAGCCAGAGACAGGATCCACCTTGTGTTGTTTGCTGAAGCAGAGGAATCAACTGTTCCTTTTCTGTTTTAATTGAGAGGGAGTCACTTTAGCCCAAGTTGTGTTATTCCTTCTACTGAATGCAGACACTTTGTGTACTATTTACAGTCCAAATTTTAATAGGCAGCACTTAGCACCTATATGTATGAAACCATCCTTAGGAATTCAGACAATATCAACCCACATACGTAGACATTGTGTGTGTGTATGTACTGTATGTTTTCTCTCCCTGTTAATTTATTACTGACTTTTCATTCCTGTGAGACTATCTGTACTAAGATGTATGGAATCAAAGCCAAACACCTAAATTGTCTTTAATTCAGTTACTTAAAATAGACCAACTGAATTAATGCGACTTTGGTAAGTCAATACTCATGCGAATTCCATTGGATTTCTCCCCATTTTTGCTGAGCACACTTGAAAGACTGCTGAAGATGGCAACAATTTTATTGTTATACATTTCATGTTGTAAATGTTTTCCAATGTTGTACGTTGATATTTTTATTACCTTTCACAACTTATGTTATAAATAAATACAAATATTAGTATGAATGGTTTTAATTCCCAGCAAATGGTAAGAAATGCACCACCATATAGGAAGATCTTAAGCAGGCTTACTCAAAGTACTTTAAGTGGGATGTACATCTTAGTAATTATGGTTATGATGATTGCAATCCCATTAGGAAATCAGAAAGACCTGTAACATTTTTTTAAATGAATTACTTAGACAGATCTTGTTTCTTCATCAAGATGTCCTTTCCTCACCTGTTCCTGGGACACTGAATCAAATTTCAGTGGTTATGACGGTAAGTAATAATGCTTTTAATATGTAATTACTTTACAATACTGTCATCAGGAGAACAAATTCTGCTTCCATTTTAAATATGTCCCTTGGCTCAACTTGTGCTAAGTGTAGGCATAGCTGCATAGGGCAAAATTCAAATTTAGTTATACATTTCTTAGCAAAAGCTGCTCTATTGCCATGGACATGGTAGTGGTTTCCATTTGCTATTTATTTGGCATGGGGCCTCCTGAGAGTATAAATAATGCTAGTTTTTCCAACCACTTCCAGACTCATTACACATTTATTGATGAGAATCTTATGAAATAAAGAATATAGATCAAACAAAAGGCAGTCATTTTCCTATTTCCTATCTTCAAATCCCATAACTGCCCTAATGTACAGTAGTAATATTACTTTGAATTCCAACTTGCCATTCATGTTAACCTCCCCTGTGTTTCTCTGTCCCCTCCGTATATTGTCAACATTGTCTTCTGCCTTTCCAGGTTATTGAGCTTCCAACTGATGCCCACCTGCATGCATTTGAACCCTCAACATTTTCCAGATAGGGCATGGATACATATTTATTTTATTTATTTATTTATTTATTTTATATCCCGCCTATCTAGTCACTTAAGACCACTCTAGGCAGCTTACATAGTTGTGATCTTTAAATCTATTTTTCTTTGCTTTCTGTGTTTTGCAATTCCTCTCTATCCTCCATATCTTCTGAAATCAAAAGTCTCTATCCAATCTCTTTGCTTACTTCATCACTCCCCATCTCTGTCTTATATCCTCAGTAAGTAAAGTATTTTAAAATCTTTTGTCTGTTTTTTCCTGGATATCTTCTGTGACCAGTTCTTTTCTCAAACTAAATTATCCTACATTATTATTTGTAATTATTTGTATCTGGGACCAGTTATTTTTCTTTAGCATATTAATATTGCATAAGCACTACCAATCCCCTATCAGTCTGTAGTAGAATAGGGCCAAGGTCACTAGCACATGATTTAACTAAGATGTTCTAAGCAGTTCTGTGAGGATTGGTTTACCAAATATATTGAAGTAGTTTGCCTATGTTTAGATACACATGTCCAGAACAAACACAGTTACAATTCATAGATGGTTCGAATGCTCTGACATTGAGCATACTTCCAAATATATTCCATTCCCTAAGACAGGAAGTAAAAAGACCAATTGAGACAAAAGTAGTGAGACAATTCATTCATTCAATTTACAGTGGTGCCTCGCTTACCAACGTTAATCCGTTCCAGCGAAATCGCTGTAGAGCGAAATTGTCATCAAGCGGGGGGAAAAACCATTGAAGCACATAGAAAACCGCTCAGTGCATTCCAATGGGATAAATACCTAATTGTCCAGCGAAGATCCTCCATAGGGCAGCCATTTTCCGGTACCTCTCTTGTGAAAAATCCGTCCTAAAAACAGCAGGAAGCCAATTTAAGAGCTGCTGATCAGCTGTTTTCAGACCATCGTTAAGCGAAAAATCAGTTCCCAAAGCAGGGAACCGATCATCGTTAAGTGAATTTTACCCATTAAAACATCGTTTTGCGATCACAAAAGCGATTGCAAAAACCTCATCGTCAAGCGGATTCGTCATTTTAATGAGGTAATCGTTAAGCGAGGCACCACTGTATATATTGCTCCCATTAGTGCTCAGGTACTACCCTGGGCAGTTTGCAATAAATATAGTATAAAATTTGAACTTGAGATAAAAACGCTAAAAACAATTAGCAACAAACAATTGAAGAGGTGGCTTTGGTGGTATGAGTGAGTAGAGTCTTGATTACCAATTTTGGCATTAGGGCAATCAATACCTTCTTTCATCCACTCTACCCTAAGTCATGGATGTGAGCCCTCAAGAAATAGAAGGCAAAGAATGTAGTATCTCCCCCCACCACCACCCGGGAACACTTATGTTAGAAGGAAGGAAAGTAGGGCCAAGAAATATTGTTGTTTTATTTTATTACATTCATTCGAAAGCATGCAAAATGCAAAAATGCAAGTAGATAAGTAGGTACCACCTCGGTGGGAAGGTAAACAGCGTTCCGTGTCTAGTCACACTGGCCACATGACCACGGAGGATTGTTTTTGGACAAACGCTAGCTCTATGGGTTGGAAACGGAGATGAGCACCGCCGCCTAGAGTTGGACACGACTGGACAAATTGTCAAGGGGAACCTTTAACTAAATTTTAGGATAATCCCTCAAGTGTTCCGCCCTGAACTTGAGGCAGTCATAGGTAACATGAATGCCATTCCATCTTTGTTTTCATTTTATTCTGTTTCTGACCGTGGTCATTGCCCGTGGAACAAACTACAGTGGTCTTGGCTTTGTCGACATCTCTCCACAGGGCTGAGCTCAGTTATAATTTCTCAGACCTTTCATAATATGTGTCCTATTTGAAAATCTGTTATCATAGCTTTTCCATTTTCATTTTGTTTGTCTTAGATACCCTTCTACAAATCAGGAAAATTTCAGGCCTACATAGAAAGCTATAGAGCTACAGTAAGTAATGAAAAATTGATAAAATCTTAATTTAAATTACAAATATGTACACAACTTTGCAGTTTAATGCCTTGCTTTTGATCACCAGCCGTTGGAATTCAGGACCCTCATCCCAACCCATTCTGCGTAATGCATATTTACCCTTTATACTGCTACTTCTCCCTCAATTGATTTAAACTTCATGCAGCAAAACAGAAAACCTTGTATCAAGTGAAGTCTGAGTTATTTTTTGATCGCAGTGCACTTAGGGTTAGCAGTAGGGTTAATGCTATGGTATGGATTTAATGTTCTTGTTTTTCCTTACTTCTTTGTGAATTCCAGTACTTTCTCTCTCATGAAGCCAACCTACTGACATAACTTCTCTGCAACATGGTTCATCAAAAATAGCATGAGACTTTTTTTTTGTTTTTGTATTACTGGCTGGGGAAAGTATTCCAATGGCAAAAAGCAATAGATTTGTTGGGGCAGGGAGAGAGAGAGAGATCTCCACTTCTATAGCACCACACTCTCTGGGTGGTTCATAACAATAAAATCATACAATAAAAAAACCCACAGTGTACAATGAAAACCCTGTCACAAGTTGGAAGTACCTTTAAATAGAATCACACGAATTAAAACACATTTAAACATCTCAAGTCAGTAGTTCAACATTAGTGTAGAAGGCAGCTTTATATAATTTTCTCTTGATTAGCTTTCTAAAAACAGATTGGGATGACATCTGATGAATCTCTGTAGGTAGCTTGTTCCATACGGAAGGGGCCATGACCAAAGAAGCTTGGTTCCCAATAGTACCTCTTTTGGCCTCCTTAGGTACCAGTCTTTAAAAACAAAGACTGCAAAGAGCAGGTGGAACAGGTAGCTATTTTCTGGGAGACGTGTTCCACTGAGTATCTCCAGCTCTTTTGTTTATTTAAATAAAGCAAAACAAAAATTGTATGAATATTATGTGGGAAGTAGCTGAAACTTTAACATATTGTTTAGAGCAGGGGTCCTCAACCCCTGGTTTGTGGCCTTGCCAGGACCAGGTCATGGAGACAAATCTCCTCTCCCCCCCGCATGTGCAGACGCATGCAAGCCCCTCCCATGCATGCACGGCCCCTCCCACACACGCACGGATGCTCCCTCCGTATCCCTGCCCGCACACTAATGGAGGCAAAAATGTTGGGGACCACAGGTTTAGAGCTCTTCAGGAGACAATATGATGACATTCCTACTTTGTAGGACCAATTCCTTGTGAAGTCTGCAAGAAAATATGACACTAGGGAACAAAGTTTGCATAAGTTATGTAGAGACAATGGCAGGTTGAAGTAACTTCATGCATTGTATCTTTCTAAAAGAACTGAAGTTCAGATTCCTATCTTTATGTGAAAGCCTTGGGCTCTGTCTAGCAAATCATTATTTATTAGCATTGGTTTTATGGTTATACAAGGATACTGATGATCCTTTCTCACTATATAGTTATGAAGGCAATCTGAATAAATCTCGTATAGCCCTCCAGGTACTGTATAAAATAGTATATTATTAACATTTAATTACAATATTATATGTACTCCTCCAGGTGACCAGATTTTTACACAGTTTTTCCATCACTTGTTATTAAGTTCTAATTTACTTAGTATTAATAAATTAGCAATAGAACTATATTCTTAACCTTTATACAATTTATACACTTTCACAACTGAACATGGAATAGTAGAAAGTGGAAGCTCATGCAGTGCAGCCTTGCTGTTGATTTTCTTATTTTAAATAGTCTTTGTCGTTGACTAAGTACGTAGTAGTTGGACTGGTTTGTGCACATGTTGGGACATAGCCAGAATATCATTTTATACTTTCAGTGCTCAGACATTCTTTTGTTACCTTTACAGGGTAAGTGCATAATATTGCTTTATTAAATTCAGATATGATTGCCATATGTGGAAACTGTGTTGTAATAATGTTACAAGTCTGGACAGTCTTGATTACTCATGCATGAGTTTATCACTATGGCTTTTCTAACTTGTTAAGTAAGGATCAGAATTTCACAGAACAAAACTTTTTCACTTTTACTGATAGTTGAAGATGTTGGAATGTGACGTGTATCATAACTAGTGAGAAATAACAGATAAACATTTTGAGTTGGAGTCAGGTTTGCAGTCTGAATTTAAACAGAACCAGTGTAACCTGCTTCTCTTAAGAATTCCACGCATGCCTTTCTCGAAGATGCTCCACCCCCCTCACTTCCCTGGTTGTCTAACCCTTCAAAACAACACCCAACATTCGGTGGCAACTTTGGATGGACTGCTAGACTGTTGTGGAGTCATTAGCTCTCTATGCCAGGACTGGCTGCTCATAATTTTAGCAGGAGTAGATGCCTACCCCTATCACTTCAAACATCTCCAATTCCGACCAGAGCTGCCATACATACGCAGAGAGAGAGAGAGAGAGAGATTTGTATTTCTGCCAAGTGTGTGTTTTCCCAAGTTTGCTGATACTTCTTACTTGGTGAAGAAAATACACAAGGTATCAGAATCATAGACAGTTGACGAAATATGTGCTCAGTTTCAATGTTGTAGTTTTTATTTATGTTCTGTGACCTTTGAATCTTGTTTGAGTATTCTTATTCTAGCAAACTTTATTCAAACTTTGGAAGTGCCTAATACCTGTAATGGACTGGATGAGGGTGAACAAACTGAAGCTTAACCCTGGCAATACAAAAGTGCTCTTGGTCAGTCATTAGGCAGTTTGGAGAATAGGGGTCCATCCTGTGTTAGATGGGATTATAGTCTCCTTGAAAACTCAGGTTCACAGCTTTGGTGTCCTCCTGCAGAAGTAGGGGTGCAGCTGAACACGAGGAAGGGAAAAGCTACGGAAGACTTAGTTAACTTCATTGAGAACAATGAAGAAATAGTTAAAGATTGTCTATATCATAAACACAAGAGTAAGAATACATCACTAGAGACCAAGGCCAGGATAATCTATATTGTGGTATTCCTGATTACTGTGTATGAACAGGAAAGCTGAATACTAAAGTAAGCTCATAGGGGGTGGGGAATCAGTTAATTCATAATGCGGTATTGGATGAGAGCTTTACAGAAACTGTGGACCACAAAAAGAAAAGAGAACTATATGGATGCTAACCAAATCAAGACTTGAATATTTCTAAAATAAAATACTGCATGATTAAGCTGAAGCTATCATCGTTTAGTTTGGTCACATTACAATAAGATGACACACAGTAGAAAAGACTACTGTATAATGCTGGACAAATGAAGGCTGTTGAAGGCAGCAGGAAAAGAAGATGGAATAAGAGATAGACTAACTTAACTTAAGCCATGGTCTTAAACTTCCTAAATGTAAACAGGACTGTTATTGATAGGATCTTTAAAGGTCACTAATTCATAGGGTCACCATAAGTGAGAAGCAACTTTACATAACAACATGCATGTGAGATAATTTTTTTTAAGTTGATGTGTATGTGATGCATGTTGTTATTGTTAGGCAGCAACTACACACAGTGGATGAAAGAGAGAAGACAACAGCACAAGTTGTCAGTTGATGAGGCTAGATGCAGAGGGAGGAGAGGTGGATCAGGGCCAGAGCCACTGTCTCAACTACAGTTCTATCACCCTTACAGCAGCCAACACGGTGCTTGTGAGAGGATTCCTTTTGCTGGCTGTGCAGACAGCTCCAGTGCTCCCTGCTAGTTCTGTGCTGTTGTTGCTGCCTGGCACCGCTTGGTCTCCCAGTCATCCACCTCTATCTCTTTGCCTAGATGTATTTGTTTGTTTGTTTAATAGGCTTCCTTTCTCTCAGAATAGGGAGCCAAGTTGGTTTGGAATACAGTTAAAACTTGAATAAAAATTCAATAAAATTTCATATGTTAGAATAGACTTAAACTCATATTATTTAAATACAAGACAGTGCAGTTTGAAGAAAACAAAAATTCAATAAAATTTCAGATGTTAGAATAGACTTAAACTCATTATATTATTTAAATACAAGACAGTGCAGTTTAAATAAAAGTATTTTAGAATATCTTGATTAAAATACTGATATGGTGATGTTTGTCTGACTTGTCAACCTATTGGCCAAATGACTTTTTTTCTGTCCTATATTATTTACACTTTCTAATTGAAAACCTGAAGCTGCTGCTAAGAGATCACCACCAAGTCAAGTGATATATTGTGAGAATGGAAAATTGATCACACATCTGTTAGTATCAGTGGATAGGATGCAGAAGTAGGAAGAGCTCTGCTTGAAGTCCAAACTATATGTGTGAATAGTCATTCATGTCATTATATGTTTTTGTTGGTTTGCAGCTATGGAAGGAGAGTGATCTATGTTTGTCTTAGTAGGATGGAAGAGAAGGCTCAGTGGTTTAGGAATCCGGCGGTGGAGCCAGAGGCTGGGAGTTTGATCTCCACTGTGCTTCTGTGATGGTCTGGACTCAGTGATCCATAGGGTCCTTTCCAGCTCTGCAGTTCTAAGATTATTATTAAGAATTAACCTTTTGGTCCCACAGTAGTGCCTATTCAGATTTTGGCTGCTCCGTGGCTGCTCTTTGATCTGGGAGAGACATTGCCACTTGTACTGATGGTAACTTTCCTTTCAGTGCAAATGATAGCCTCACAGTAGTGAGCAGGATCAGTACAAAGGATTAACTTCCTTCCTCCTTTGTGTGGGTGACCCCAGCCTGTATGTCCCATGTTTGGTATTTATTAAAAGAAGACAGTCACCAATGGCCCCCTAGATAATTATTGCTTCATCTTGCTGGACCATTAACCATTTGAGAGCTGCAGCTAATTGGAATACAGTACGTTTTACCAGGCTAGAGGTATTAGTGTTCCGATTCAGTATAAGACAGTTTCAGAAAGGGTCAGTGTTTTGCCTGTTACTGCTTGAGAGTTTTGAAAGAGCAATGTCTGTTTGTCTTTTTAGATGGCAATGCCAGAGAGAGTTCTCCCATCTGTCTTTCAGACCTGTCTTTCTTACTCACTTGTAGCTAAACTTGCTCCCCATTGGAACCAAGCTGGTCATCTGTTGATACAAGGTATTTATCCAGAGTTGTTGACAGTCACAATGCTGTAATAGTGTCATAAATATATGTGTACTTGTTATTCTGCATTACTTGTTATTAATTTAGACTCTAAATTAATAACAACCAATGCAGAATAACTACTCATATATAGTTTCTTCCTTGTATGCTTACTTTCTATGTTAATATGAGTTTCTTCTTTGAAAAAGTTTTCCATCATGTGAACCCAAACCTGCAGTCACTAATGTAAGACCTGAGGCTAGAATTACCGCTTCATCTGCAGTTTTGAAAATCAGGGTTCTCTAACTATCACATTAATGTACCTACTCTATAATGAATTTAGATAAATAGCCATCTTCGGAATGGAAATACCGAAAGACAGGATATAAATTTCTGAATGAATAACCTGTATGGAAAAGCTAGGATTTTGCTATCCCCTCCAGCCCCAACTCAACTCTAGACATAAAATACAAGTGGATTTTATAAAACAGCATTTTGAAGTTCATTTGTATATTTAAGTAAATGGATGTGAGTATCCATGATTCTTTGTCCTTGATTGTCAACTGGACCATAGCTATGAGTATGACCCAAACATTTCCTTGGCTTTGCTGTCTTTAAAAATATTTATATGATATGTTTTGTATTCAAATTAATGTTAATCAAAGACTAGTGACTCTGCCAAATGGAAGCAATTCTAAACTGTATAACTATCATTGAGAAATGTAGATGCATTTAAACTGGATTATATTTTGTGTTTTTATTGAATTCTGTGTACCTTGTTTAGTGAGAGATTTTTATGAAGTTACATAAATAATAATGTTTATGTTTGTATACATTTTGATTTTCAATTTACATCTGTACCATATGCCTCCATTTTCCCTATAGTGGCTTAAGAAATGCTTCAGTGTACGAAATGCCTTTTTCCAAAATGTCAATTAATATGTACCTATTTCATTTGTTAAGGGAAAGATTTTCTCTCACAACGAGGAAAGCAAAATGCTGTTGGTGAGTATAGTACCAATTAAGAGAAAAAAAAATTGGCTCTTTTTGCTGTTATCCTAACTTCAAAGCAAGTTTATATGTGCCAGTGGTTGATAAATAGTACAGTACAATAGGATATTGTACTTCTATGCATCAAAGGCAAATCCTGGCACCTTGGTCACTATGGGTGCAGATAACAGAGAGACCACAGCCATGTGGCAGTCAAACAGTAAGAGACCTAATAACTAAAAAGAGACCCAAACTCTGCTTTCCAATTTCTGCTTCTGAAAAAATGTTTCAGAATCCTTTCTGAGACGTTTGGGCCAAATCGAGGTCTGCCATCTTCTCAATCAACCTTTTCCCTTCTTCGTTGCAATGCAGGGTCACTATAGATTTACCTATTTAAACTGTGCTTTGTTTGCCTTGCACAGTTCGTTGCTGTTGCTGTAGCAGGAGTGCTACAAACTGCAAGGGGGGCAGTTTTCAATAGGTTTCGCTAAACCTATGGAAAACAGTGGCTAAAAGCTAGTGGTAAGTCACACCTAGAATAGGCCCATTAGCTTTCATTGATTTAATGGGCCTAATCTAGCTACAACTTACTACTGGATTTCAGCCATTGGTTCAGCTGGCTGGATAGCTTAGTGAGTTAGGTCTCTTGCTGTGGTGGCAGTTGAGTTCCCTACTGTGCATCTCAGAACAGCCAGCCTGTGGGGCCTTGGGCAAACTGCACAGTCCCAAGGGCCCTCCAAAGAAGAGAATGGTAAACCCCTTCCAAGTTCTCTTTAGCCAGAAGACTCTAAAAAAGGCTGCCATAAGTCAGAATTGACTTGGCAGGATACAATTAATTAATTAATGTACGTATAGCCTTTCACTTATATGTGCTGTTGTCTTGATCAATTAACTTTCCTGAAGTCAATGGGCTGTACTACCCTGTTTTCCCCAAAATAAGACCTAACCTGAAAATAAGCCCAAACTTTCCTGAAGTCAATGGGCTGTACTAAAGATAAGACGTAAAAGAATGAGCATTACGTAGTTGTCAGTTTAATCACATAGTCTGATATAGAAAATACGTTATGTGCTGTGTTATGTGCTGTCAATTGGAACTGACTTATAATGACCCTAACAGAACTTTTAAGGTTAATGAGATATTTAAGGAATACTTTTACTAGTTCCACACCCCAGTGAGTTTCCATGGCTGAGCAGTATCAAAAATTAATATAAGACCCTGTCTTATTTTAGGGGAAAGATGGTAAAGACAAGACGTAAAAGAATGAGTATTACGTAGTTGTCAGTTTAATCACGTAGTCTGATATGGAAAATACGTTATGTGCTATGTTATGTGCTGTCAATTGGAACTGACTTATAATGACCCTAACAGAACTTTAAAGGTAAATGAGATATTTAAGGAATACTATTACTAGTTCCACACCCCAGTGAGCTTCCATGGCTGAGCAGTGATTTGAACCTAGGCCTCCTGAGCTCTTGTCCGTCACTCTATCACTACACTACACTGAGTTTCGTACAGAAAATATACACATGCACAATTTATAGTAAAACAAATATGTGGGTCTTTGTGCATACAGGCATAGTGTGTACAGTAAAATAAAAATACTGTGCAGTAAGTGATTCTGTGGCTAACTGAATAGTCTTGTATTCTAAACAGGGAGGTCATGACTACAATCAAGCTTACACCAGTGTAACATTGCAATCCTAGGCTACCTCGCCAACATAAAACATCAATTAAGAGCAAGGAAAAGTATAGCAACAGTGACAGATCCTCTTGGTCTCTAGCCTTTCCTTAATCATGGATTCAAGTTCATTGACAGTTCAGACCGTAGGAGCTGCAGACAACTCTTGTCAGAGCAAGAGATTTAGTTGTTTAGTGTAGTTGTTAACCTTTTTGATATACCAAGTTGTTACAGAGCAAAAATAAAAATGAAAGAGTTTGGGCACTTTAAAAACCAACTGATTTATTTCCATGTTAGCTTTTATGGATCAGAATCCTTTTCCTCAGATACAGTTTAGGGTTGTGACCCACAACAGCTCAGAGTAAAATAAATCAATTAGTCTTTAAGTTGCCCTAACCTTTTTGATTTTGTTTTTATTTTTGCTGTGCATGTTGAAACTGACTAATATAACTGCCTCCTTGGAAAGTGGTAGAAGCTAGGTAGTAAACATTGTGGGTTGCAGTAAAATGAAGCTGAATAATTTTGCTTCCATGTACATGTGCTAAAAATAGAATATATGTATGGTGGATATTGTGCCTTCTATTACAGCTATGGACATCAATATATCAGACAACCAGCTCTGCATCAGTGTGGAAGTGTACACTATACATCTGCCACCACCTGAGGTAGAGGAGTAACTCGACTTGTATTTTACTAGATTTGTTGAAGCTAAGGGCTACTTCACAGTGCTTGTTCTGATTAGTTCTAGGAGTGTGTCTGCCATATGTTTGAGCCACACCCCAAGTTTTTTTCATACAGTATGAAGGCTATTGATAGCTATTGAGCAATAAAACATTGCTGTTTAGTTGTTAAGTCGTGCCCGACACTCATGTGTGTGTGTATGTATGTATATGTATATATGTATTTAATTCTTATAATTTATGCACACAGCCAAGTGTATACACCATTATCAGCTTGGATGCTGTTGGAAGGGTCTAGGTTTCAAACATCACTAAAGTTTTGAAATTGTGGTCTTTGAGTAATGCGTTATGGTTATCACTGCTTGAAAACATCAGCAGTGACAAGTGTTCTTTGTTTTTTCATTAAATGGGGTGAAGTGAATGAGGTGAACATACGCATGTTCTACTTTTAGCTTTAGAAGACAATATTCTTTTGCTACTCTACCTAGAATAGGCCTCCTAAAGAAATGTGATCCCATTCAGTAATTATTGACTTAACAGGACCCATTCATTAATTAGGTCTACTCTAGCTGAGACTAACAATTTGACTTCATCCATAGTATTTCTTTTAAATATATATTTATTTTAGAGCAGTTTAAAAAATTTATTCCACATTTCAGGTTGTGTTAAGGATCAGTTCCAATTCTAAAAACCTTTTAACTTACTGTTTAAATCTTAAACAATTACATTCACATGATGAAGTGATTAGAATCATTATATGAATTTCATAACATAGCTTATGAAATTTTGTAAAGCTTCTGGCCCAAATACTGTTGATGTTTCCATACACATAAGAGCAATTGTGCACGTTTTTTCCCTTGTGGGAGGCCCTCTGTGATGCAATAGGTTGCAACCGGTATGAGTCCAAGTATGTGAAGGGGGCCTGCGAGAAGAGGAGAATGCTTTTACAATTATGTAATCACATAGTAATAATCTCTGTTGCTGTAAACACAGTTGCTGTAAATCTTGAGCAACATGTTTGAATCCAAGTACGTACTGTGAATTCAGATCACTCTGACATATCCACAGCCCTACCAGGCTGCTTCTATTCAGGCAGAAGCGAGGGAAGAGCAACATTTACCATTGTTCCTGTGCAGTTTTTTTGAGACATTATTTCATGGGAGATAAATCATTTAGATCAGCTTCAGACATGGTCTAAATATGTCCCTGTGTTGGGAGCATGCAGAAGGATAGGTGGACTTTGGGTACTGCCTATACAGAGCCTCCCTTGCCATGGCTGCAGAATGTTCTTGATCCTTTGGTTTCTCTACCTCTCCAACATTGGAGCTCAAGCATAGGAGAGTGGCGGGGTGCAGATCTTTCTGGGCAGCCAGGGACAAGGGATCTAGGAATAGGTCTCCTTCTCCAAGGTCAGAATTCATTCTGTGGGATTGGAGCAATTGTGTTTATACTTCAAAATAAGTAAATGCATGAGATACATCTGATGAAGTGTGCTGAAAATGTATGCCAAGTAAAATGTACTATTGGTTAAGGCGACAAAAAAAAAGCTGTGTTTTTTTTTAATTGGGGGTCAAGCTAAATATAAGGGGAAGACATTATCTTCGGTTACCTTCCCAGGAATGTACTAACATTACTGTCTGGTTTGCCTTAATACTGCTCCCTTGCTCCCTGGAATTTTCAAAATAAATAGAGTTCATTAGGTATAATGTGCCTTCTGGACATATTTCTCAGTTGCTCCTTCCATGGAATTTTAATTATTTTAATACGTAAAATTGCTTTATGTGTTTGTGAATACATTTGAAAAATCACTATATCAATTTTTTTCACCCTCTTTTTAGCTGGAGGATTTTGAAATTTCAACAAATGCCTTAAAGAGATTTGATATTGATGATAATGCAGTTATTGAAAAATATTCTATTTTAAGTAACTGGTGCTATGTTTTGCCAAGGTATGTTTTTTTATCTTTTGACAAGAAGTTATACTGACATGAACAAAACCTTTCTTGCAATATAGATAAGTAAAGTTCCAATGGGAACTTTAGAGAATTCTTCTTGATCAAAATGGAACTGAGACTTTCATCTCTGTTAAAAGAAATTCAAAAAGCAAGGAATTTAAAACTGTAGCATATATAAACACAGTTTACATTCATTTTTATGTTTATGCTTTCCAAAACTTTCCTTTCATGTATTATATTAATATTTGCAATTTTCCAAAGGAAAACTATTACATCTACTTGACTTGTCCTATCATGGATTCTGGTCAGAGGAACACCTCACTCCATTGGTGGTGGTGGGGGGGTTGTATCTTTTTCTGCCTGATGATGAGGTACATGTGGTTTTACCTCATTAAAAAGTGTATCCAACTATGTTTCATGCACGTAAAGGCTATGTTGTCACCTTTTCCCCCTGTGGCTAACTAAAAGATGTTCCAAGATGCTTTAGCAGAAATTTCTGATGCAAAATTATAAATAGACAGTGGCAGTTCAGTTTATGAGTTATTCCATCCAAAATAATCAGCTGTTTTACTGATCAAATGAAGTTACACTGCTTACAGTAGTGTAGCTGGCTCATTGGTATGAAAATATAATTGGATTTTCTGGTCCACCTCATATCTGACATGGAAGTTGCTGGCCAGAATTCTATTGTATATTTACACATGCATAAAAGTAACTGTAGACCTTACTGTTACTAATTGGTGAGGAGGAATCACATCCCTGATCGTGCTCCTGATTGTGCAACTACCTTGCACTTGCCCGGAACCAAGTATCTTTTCAAACAGATGCAATTAGATTTGGCAATACCCATAATTTCCTCTTGTCTGCAAATAAACATAAGATACATAGGATATGGGTTACTACTGTATTACTCTTTTATATCTATATTTTATATAGTGTTTGATTAATACTATACTGTACTTACCTCTGTGCAGTATGAAAATGGGCAAAATCATAAACATCAGTCACGTGATACCATCTGACTCTGTCTTTGAGTCATACAGGGCTTTGAAGTTGCACTGGGAAAATCTGGTAAGAGATGCACAGGATTGTTTTCTCCATTGTCTGTCACTTCATGCACAACAAATTCTTTACCTTGAACAATGCTGCTTATATATTTTGTCTACAGTATGGCTATATTCTGCCAGAAGATTCTCAGATATATTGCAGTATTTACTTCAAATTGATAGGGGAGCAGCTCTTTACGTATCCTTTACTTATTTTAAATTTCTTTGCGTGCTTAGCTTTTCTGGTTCTTACCTAAGATCATGCAACCTGCATGCATGTTTTGTTGTTGTTATTTGTTTGTCAAGTTGTTTCCAATTTATAGCAACCGTAATATGGCTTTCCAGCTACATGAGCTGTTCAAGGAGTATTTTACCATTGGCCACGCACAAATTTGAATGCAAGTCTCCTGAGTCCTGCTTCAGGTTCTGTCTACCATACCACTCATGCAAGCATGTTATTTAGTACAAATAATAGTTATTATTACTTACATGAATATCTGTAATGTATTCTAATTTTATTTATAAGTCACTGGCCAGAATCCTGTTGCTTAGCGCAGTAATTCACACTAGGGTAGGCCCATTAGATCAATGTGGATTTGGTGAGTTCACCTCTATGTAAGTTCCATTGTTTCAAATGGGCTTACTGTAACTCCATCTTGTTTTAACACAGTAAGTCATAATTAGAGTAGGCCCATTTGAACCACTGGAACATATGGAGGAGTTGATTCAGTGGGCCTATGCTAGTGTGATTTACTACGCTAAGCAACAAGATTATGGTCATTATCTTTAAAGATAATATAAACGTGCAATCAGGACTGTGTATGCTGACCTAACTTACATGATTTTCTCAGTATTCAAACCAAATTTTTGAGATCTATTCTGACTGTACCCCCCTGTACACCTAATGCAGTCCTTCGTTTGGAGTCTGGCCTAATCACCATAAAAGCATGTGCCATATGGTTAATTACTGGCTAAAGCTTCTCTTTTCTTCAGAAGGCTTGGCACAGATGTCACTTTTTGACTCCTTTCAATCAGAATGGAAACTACAACTTACAAAAGAAATAAGGCAAATGGATTTTTCCACCAACGTTCTCTTGGAGATGGGGCATGTCGGTGCTAAAGTAGCACTGAAACAAAGAACCTGGGACATAGAACTTCAAGAGCATATGAGCCGGTCAGGCAAATACAGTGTTGTTACTAATGATGCCTTTACAATATCTTCATATTTGACGAGCACAATGACAACAAAGACCAGAAGAGCCTTCACATTAGCGAGACTTAATGTTTTACCCTCTAAGCTCATGGAGGAAAGATTTCAACATATTCCTCGGATTGCCTGTGTCCATGTAATGATGGCCAAGTGGAAAATGTAGGTCATGTCTTACTGTACTGTATTTTCTATAGAGATCTACGTACCAACCTCCTGAGCCCAATCATTCTCAGATATCCAGGGAGACCTGATGAATTTTACATCAAACTACTTATTTCCGACCAAGACTCCCTTACTACACACTCTGCAGCAAAATTTTGAGCCACAGCACAAAACTTACTAGTGTTTTATCTATAGTAATTTATACCAGAATAAAATGTTTAAATGGTAATACTGTTTCTTCCCAGGGGCATGCTGATTTTTGAAGTAATAACCTGTGACCATTTTAACAGTTATGAGTCTTTCTGTGCAGTCATATAGTTGTCTACTTTTGTGTTTAATAATCAGAAGATTTTTATCCACATTGCTCAAGAAAGCCATAACTTCTGTACAGAAAATTCTCAAAGAATAAATTTCAGTCTTTAACACAAATTCAGATATCCTTTCAGTTGCATCAGAAGTCGACCAGTGGAATACTTTCCTAGAGTAGATTTAGAAGGTGTTTTAAATGCTTTTGTTACTGATCTAAAGAATATAATTCCTTCTATATGTGGGTTTCCTCTAAAGATGACAAGTAAAGCATTATATGCCACAAAATATCTCACACAGTCCTCTGCTCAGGTAAAAAAACAGTTTAATTACATACATAAGATATAGATGTTCTGTTTAAGCTCATATAATTTGATAGAACTTTGGAGCAGATGTTTATTTTGCTATGGTATGAGAAGACTTTATAACCTCTTTTTTAATCAGTGTAGTATTTGAAAAAGTAGAATATGAGCGTGAGCAACTAGAAGTTACACTGCACTCATACAGAGGCAAACATCAGCCTTTCTATTTTTTGTGATACTTTTCCTTAGTGCTGCTATATCTGCCAATATTTTTCTATCTAACATGATTCTAGTTAGTTAAGAGCTTTGACCACTCTAACTAGCTTACTAGTCACTTCTCTGTGGAAACCAGTATTTGTAAGACAGCAAGGCATAATAATTATAGCTTTGAGTGAGGAGTGAGAGATTAGTCTTTGCCATATTTATATGGGGTTGATTTAGTTTTGTCTGTTAATTCTGAGAGTGCTTATATGAAGGATTGCAACTGACCATAACCTTGGCCTCAGTGTAGTTTCTCTACTAAAGGCAAACAAGAAAGAGCTTGAGTACAGGAGGGCAGGATGTTCTGCAGTGTTGTAACTACATTTGTATAATATCTGCCCCAGAGACCAGTTCTTAATGTTTGTTCCAAGTACGCTTAGATACATTGATTAGCCTATGCTGTAAGATCAAGAGAGAAAATTGCATCCTGTTTATATTCTTTAACTTTGCATTTACCTTTGTAAAGTTGATTGCCAAATTCATCTGATTACAAAGTGGGACTTGGGAAGGCAGATATTGCTCTTGCTGCCATCAATATTATTAAACTCTTCTATAGCACCTACTCTTTTCTAACTGCTGTGTAGATGCTAAGGGCTCACCCAGATAAGTGGTTCTCTGGTTGTTCTTGGGTTGTTGCATTTTTGTTGCAGATTTGAAGAGATCACTCTGTTATTTCTGTCCACACACGAGGAGCAAAACTTTTGCTGGATGTTCTGGAATGCCCTGAAGTTTCCTGGTCCCACCTGTTTGTGTACATCCGGAATTGTTCCCTGACATCTCATCACAGAACAGACTTAACCACCCCTTTGGCTTATGTTCTTCACCCTTTCTCTGCCTACTTCTCTGCTTCCTCCCTCCCTTCTTTGTTTTATCTGCCCATGGGGTGGGAAGGGTCGGATATTGACCCACCGAAAAATGACCATAAGGAAGCATAACCATTGACACACATACAAAATGCATGGATCATCATGGAGAAGTGCAGTACTAGAGTCCAAATGAACAGATTCTGCACTGAATTGGAGCAAACCAGAGCAAAAATGCATCCTTATCCAGCAATGGTGTAAAAAAAATGAAACTAAGGTTTTTTGTTTTGTTTGTTTTTGATTGTTCTGCATGCATTTTGTTGACACTAGTTTCAGCTCTATGTACTTGGACACCACCGGTATGCCATACCACTATGATGGATGGAAGGAAAGTTGACCAAAATCTCTGTGTCGATGAGCTCCAACATATAATAAATTAGTCCCTATTAAGCTATTAGGCTCCCAAGATACAATAGAATGAATATGATAGATAAAGGAGGAGGAATTTGAAAAGATGGGGAAGCAAATACCTGTACATTGGCTAGACAAATGTTGTTTTGTTTTTTTGCCAGAGGGGTTGAGGAGCAAGCTCCCTGCAAGTGCTTATTCACAGACCAATCGCTGGGACAAAATTTGGTCTCCTAGCTATGATGGTCCTATTTCTGCAGTGAGAGGCTCTTGCATGAGCAAATGTAGTAATGGAGGCATGACTTAAAACATTCTAATTTCTCTTTGTAAGTGAGTAACACAAAGGTTTGGATAAAGATATCTGTGTCCAACATGAGTGTAAGTTATTCCTATTCTACTTATTTCACAATGAGAAGTATTTAAGGATATTCTTGTGTAAGCACTTTTGAGAGTGTTTGGCAGCTCCTGTATCTGGAAGGATTGCAACATCTGTTTTCACAGTTCAGTCTTCCATTGTCAATACATAATCCCAGGTTGCTTTCTACATTCCTCTTTGCATCTAAACCAGCAGGCTGTGGTTGTGGGTAAGAAAGTCATAGCATGTTCTGTGATGCTGAGATCTGGTAAATTATGTTTGCCTTTTTTACTTAGGCATTATATGTGTGACATGTGAAACAGGATGATTACTTCTAAAATATCACACCTTATAAAAACACACTGTATATAAATTAGTCATTGATATATAATGTAGCTCTATTGTTCTGTTTGTTTCTCTTGTTTTAGGACTTAAACACAAAACCAGCTAATCTCACTGAAAAAAGAAACTGGAAGGTAACTTTAACTCAAGTAATGCCCAAAAAGGATATATTTAATCCTTCATCATGTGCTACAGAAAACAGCCGCCAGATGGAGCTTCAAGTCAACCAGCCAAAAACAGGCATTTTCTCTAATCTGCATTTACTAGCTGAAGATGAGAACACTAGAGAAGTAGGGTGCAGTGTCTATAATAAGAAACAGTGGAAGAAATCAGAAAAATCTACAATGATGTTGAACTCAAATGAATCTTCCAAATTTTCGAAAGATCCTTTAATAAAAGACTCCACTAGAGTAATACCCATTTTCAAAGGAAAACTCTTACTTACGGATAGGCAAATGACAAAAAACACCAATGGAAAGAAAAAATTAAATATTGCACAATATGAGCCATTGAAATCTAACACAGCTTCTAAATCAGTTGTATCCAAGTCCAGTGCAGTTCAGCTTAATAAACCATTACATGATGCTTCAAGAAATTATAAAACTGTTCTTCAGATAGAGATTGGAAAAAGCAAGGCAAAATCTACTAAGCACAGACTGAAAGAGAAAAACAAGGATAACGGATATCTGCCAAATTGTGCTTTCACTAAAACTATAGTTTCATATAGAAATTCGACTAAAATGAAATCTGGAAGACAAAGTTCCTCTTTGGTGTTTGCTAGTGATCAGTCAATGTGTGATGCATCAACTGTCCATCAGTATATAAATAAACCTGCAAATTTCAGCACAGGCCAGAATGCTAGGAGTACTGGATCAAAGAAAACCCATCTCTGCATGTCTAATCCAGATGTAAATGAGAAAAATGTCAGAATATTTCAGGATGAATTGCAAAGTCCAACAGAAGAATCAAAAATTAAGCCTTACAGATCAGTACATAATAAAGCTAAAAAAGGAAAAAGTCAAAAAGAACCGGTAAGACCTGATAAAGATACTGCTAACATACCCTGCCACCATCTGCAGTTTAACTCTCTACAGGTATGGAAAATAACATAGGTATTACAGTTATTTAAGGCATATGAGCAGAGAATTTCAACATAGAAGTATAAAAAGTGAGAAAGAACAAGCATTTTGTTGTATCAAATTCTTTGCACACTTCTTAAGTATTAATTGTGCTGCCAATTCCCAGTCAGCAGTTTCTGACAATTGTATTGGTTTCCCCATGTGATCTTACATGTACTTGGCTCAGAATGCAGATGGTTGCTATGTGACCTATAGGAATCAAATATGCTTAATTGTTGCAGCTGAGGGCTGCAAAAAGAAGTTTGCAAATGGAGAATGCTCTGAGTACACATAGAGATGTAAAACTTTTCAGAGGTTAGAAAACATAGTTTATGGGCAAACTCTTCCAGAATCCCTGAAGCCAGCATGGTGACTAGCTTATGATATCTGAAAGATTCTAAAAGTTGTCCCCCCAAAAAGTATTTTTATTCTATTTATATCCCACCTATCTATCTGGTCATTGCAGCCACTCTAATTTTTCTAAGCTGTAGTTCAAACTAAGCAAATCTCAGACTGGTTAGTGCTTGGGTGGAGAACTTCACTATGAGGAAAATGGTATACGAAATACCTAGATATATTATTTCCTCTTGAATTGGCTTTGGTCCTGGTCTTTTCCTTCCAAAGTTATTGCAAAGTTATCACATTGACTTCAGAATTCATATTTAGTGGCTAAGACACTGGCTGAAATGCAGTAGTCACAACTAGAGTAGACTCATTGAAGCAGTGGAACTTACAGATGAGTTGACTTACTGGATCCCCACTGATGCAATGAGCCTACTCTAGTTGTTTTTATTTATTTATTTATTTATTTAGGTAGGTAGCTAAATAAATAAATAAATAAAAACAACAACTAGAGTAGGCTCATTGCATCAGTGGGGATCCAGTAAGTCAACTCATCTGTAAGTTCCACTGCTTCAATGAGTCTACTCTAGTTGTGACTACTGCATTTCAGCCAGTGTCTTAGCCACTAAATATAAATTCTGAAGTCAATGTGATAAGGCATGGTGTCCTTAAAGCAGTAGTTCCAACCTTCAGTCCCCAGATGTTCTTGGACTAAAATTCCCAGAAGCCTTCATCACTAGCTGTTTTGGCCAAGATTTCTGGGACTTATAAAATAAGAGCATCTGGGGACCCAAGGTTGGAAACCACTGCCTTACAGGGTAATTCCATTTATGAATGTGGATGTAGATTACATGATACTAACAAATTTTGAGTGAAAAGATGTGTGCAAGCAAAACTTTGTAACACTTAGGAACCTCAAGAAATATATGACCTGCCCTGCTTATCTATCTCCAATTCTCTTCCATTCATAATCAAGCCATCAGGGTTGGTAAGTGGTTTGAAATTTCTACCTTTGGAGGCTATAGCTCCATCACTATTTTAAACCAGTTGTTTTAAACCATTTCCCCCCCTTTTTTTGAAATAGACCCCATTCTCAGTCCCATATTCCACTTCTTCATTTGGAGTTGTAATTTTGTCTAAAACATTGGTTTTCCTTTTAGAATACTATAGCAAAGTACATAAAGTTCTTCAGCATTGTGACTGGAAACATACCTGCTGATTTTTAGTTATAATTCGAAAGAACAGATCATGTCAGATATTACGGTAATCAATTAATAATATTTCATCAATGTGTTCCTCAGTGTTTCAACATAAAATATGTAATAGGTAGGAATGACATTTGTTAGTGTAGCTGTTGGCTGAGTGCTATGCAGTACAAAGTGCTTTTAGTTTTCTTAAATGTAAATGTAATTTGCTTTAATGCTTTAACTTGCTGGCAGGAAGAAGGAGAAAGCTATCCAAAGCTCAAGAAACCAAGAACCAATAAGCCATAAAATGAATAAAGATGGAGAAGAATTAGAGGTACTGAAAGAGGCACGTCGGCAGTAACTGTTTTTACCTTTACTACTAGCATAATTAAACAAAAGTGGCAAGAGTTGCATTCCTTTGCTATAAAGGCAGTCATATTCCTGTTTTATTTCACTGTAACCCAGAGCCTATCTACAGTTTAGTACACAAACAGATCTCCAAAGCATGCAAACAATCCTCTATATGCAGAAAAACCTGAATTAATATGGGTGTACAAAAGAATGCATGTGCTACTAACCATTTCTCTTCATTAAAATTAATAACGAAGATATTGCAGGTAGGAACATTAATTGGAGCTCCCATACTCTGAATGGAAGGTCAGGGTAGCTGAATGACTACTTGTGCAAATGGTGATAGACTGTAGGTTAGCACCAGGTGCACAAGTAGAAAAGCACCTCTGCAAATCATCTGTCTTGAATATTCTCAGGCCATCCTGTTCCAGCCTGCTTCTTTACTCTGGGCAGAAGCACTTTGTATTTCCCTGTCTGTGAACATTTGCACTTCTGTTGTCTTTGTGTGTGTGCGTCCATGCGTGTGTGTGTGTGAATACCTATTTTTGCCTATGCCTCTGCCCACCATTGGATGCTGTTGCCTTCTGGCCCCCAATCACAGTGAGCACCAGACACCACTGCTATTTGCACAGGAAGTATATAGGAGAGTGCAAAGTATAGGCCTGCATTTTGCTCAGATTCCTTTCTGCTTGTACAGATGTTAAACTATGGTTTAGTACTATATTTTATTCCTGCCTAAATACAGTACCTTTAATTATACGCCCCCCATGTTATTATTCTTAAGATGATTGATAACCCAACATTTGGTAAATACTGTGTGAACCTTTATTCTGTGATGTGTGTCTTGACTGAAAAGCTCCATACAACCAATGTCTTTTCACCCAGGTACTACATTTCATTATCAGTTCAGTGGTAACAGCAAAGTACCTTTGTTTTGGCATTGGCTTTGTTACAAGTATGATGTTCTGGTTTGTGTAGTCCCCAGTCCCCACCATGGGAAGGGAAAGAGATTTAAAGTTTTTGATTTGTTTGGAACTGCTTTGTCAAGTGGGAGAAACTGTGAACTGACAAGCTAGAACAGTAAAATAGAGCAGATCTGGTTTGATATTTCAGATTGTAGACTAGCTGTGGTTTAGGAGTGGGGTTGGGAATCTGAGGTTCATGGCAAGCCCATGTTGAAAACAATACATTATAGTTTGTGGTTATGTGTGAATTGAAAATATTTTTGTATACTGCAGTTATATACATAAGAAGAGAGAGTCCCAATGTTAAGATTCTGTGTGTTATTTATAGTCAACTCTAGGGCTATAATCTTATATATTGGAGTGAAGTTCCTTTGAAATTGTTGGGACTTAATGCTGAAACAGATACATGCAATTGCTTTTTTCAGAGACATGGTTCGAAAGAGGGATCACTCTTTGTAGTGTGTGTACCTATTTCATTAGTACCTCTGATAAGTAGGTTTTACAGGTTTTTAATGTTTCCTAAATGAGAAAGTACTGTTTGACAAAGGGTAACAATAAAGCAAAATAAATATGTATGTAACTTTGAGAAACAACACTTCTCTCAAATATTTTCAGCTCTTTAAACAATTGTGCTTTGTCTTAGGTCTAGTAACCATTTATAGGGCCAATATATTTGTTTCTGAATATAGTAGCCTCTAACTTGCATGAGCAATCTTCTCAGGCATGGTCCATGGTCTGGGGGGGGGGGGGGGACAGCCCCTTCTTACACAAACACTGTGGAGTCCAATATAATCTAAATACTATTTTTGATGGATCAACTTCAATTTCAAATCTAAAGAAACTTTAGAATATAATATAATTTCCCATTTTTTAGATTGCATTTTACCTTCTAACATTCCATTTAATGTATCTTTAAGCTCTTGAACATCTATCTTATAAATATCCACTAAGCATTTATGCTGGCTTGGAATTCTGACCAGATCCAATAATTTCCTCCAGTAATTTAGGAGATTCTGAAGCACTGCAGATGGATCATAGATAGACACAAGCAGATGCTGAAGCTGGATATATTTCCTGGCTTTTCCAGAGTTGGCTGACCTTTCCCTAGAGCATGTTAGTCTCCGGCTTATCCAGCTTCTGTGGCTTTTGGGAGGCTGAGGATTTGATCCAATTCTCTTTGGACCATCATGTTCTAGGCCTCAGGAAAATCACTAGATTTCTTTGGACTTGTTGAAACTCAGAAACAGAACTTTCTACAAAGGTTAAAGTGTAAAAACAATCATATTACTGTAGGTTTATTTATGACCAGACCTCCTGACTTCACCATCCAACTAGGGAATCAACTTCTTAGGAATCATGATACCAGTCAGTAGCAATGTTTGTCTGTTGAAGACAATCACTTTACAGTGGACCCTCGACTTACAGACGGCTCGACTTACAGGCTTGCAGACGGAGAATCGACTTACAGACCAGAAAAAAACCAAAATGGAACAAAAATGGCCGGTTACGGGATTAATCGGTTTTCAAAGCATTGTAGGTCAATGGAGACTCAACCTACAGACTTTTCGACCTGCATCCACCGTTCCAATATGGATTAATTCTGTAAGTAGAGGGTCCACTGTATATTTCTGAAAGCCATTGCAAATGGGAGATGCTGGCTGAAACAGAGAAGCTTTGCAAACAACAACAACAACCAAAAAAGCAAACAAACCTTACAGCTTATGGAAGCAGAGGGTTTAGAGACAATGTACTTTTCTATGGGGAAAGAGGTATTTTCTCCCATTTCCCATGTGGTAAGGGGTAAACTACGTATTTAATATTTCCTCCCCTTACCATTCATGGTACCTAGGGCTAGTCATTTTAACACAACAGGTCATGTTCATAGAGGCATCGGCATGAACGAAACATCTGCCAGTTTGGCTTAGATGGGGTGTCATTCAGTGGGCAGCTAAGTCATAGTATCTGCTCCCTAGAAGCATAGAAGTATTGTTGAAGTCAGGAACAGGATCAACTTTCATCTATATCACCTTGTGTTACCATTCTGTTTGCTGCCATACCAAGTGGCTGCTTTGACACAAGACTGCCTGATTTGTGTGTGTTGGGGGGCAGGCATGAGCAGAAGGAAGTTGTACAGTGAATTGATTATGCTTATCCAGCCAAGTTTACTATATATTTCTGAAAGCCATTGCAAATGGGAGATGCGGGCTGGAACAGAGAAGCTTTGCAAACAACAACAATAACAACCAAAAAAGCAAACAAACCTTACAGCTTATGGAAGCAGAAGGTTTAGAGACATTAATGTACTTTTCTATGGGGAAAGAGGTATTTTCTCCCTTTTCCCATGTGGCAAGGGGTAAACTATTTAATATTTCCTCCCCTTACCATTCGTGGTACCTAGGGCTAGTCATTTTAACACAACAGTTCATGTTCATAGAGGCATTGGCATGAACGAAACATCTGCCAGTTTGGCTTAGATGGGGTGTCATTCAGTGGGCAGCTAAGTCATAGTATCTGCTCCCTAGAAGCATAGAAGTATTGTTGAAGTCAGGAAACAGGATCAACTTTCATCTGTATCACCTTGTGTTACCATTCTGTTTGCTGCCATACCAAGTGGCTGCTTTGACACAAGACTGCCTGATTTGTGTGTGTTGGGGGGCAGGCATGAGCAGAAGGAAGTTGTACAGTGAATTGATTATGCTGAATTCAATTCATTCTACATGAGGAAACCGGATGCCCTCTGCTGATAATATATAAAAAAAACATGAGGCAGATACTGAGCATAATAAAATATGGGCAAGATTTCTGTGCTGGCAACTGAGTCAAATCTTCACAGAAGAATCAAAGACACATTGTGGAGTTTGTGGTTGAAACTAGACATTAAACAAAACAGTTAAAGCTGTGTATTCATGGACTGGCTGTCAATCAAATCCCCTCCCTCCTTGTATAAGTGTAGACTTTCATTCCATTTCTGTGACCAAAGCAGTCATAAAAATATTTCACCTTCATTTGAACTGGTTTTATTTTATTAAACTTTATGCACATTTACTGATTGTGTTTTGGGTAGGGGGAGTCTGTCCAGAATAATGCATAACAGGTAATGTGATAGTGGCAATTTTGCACTGCAAATATGTTTTTTGTACAGGTTTGTACTGACTTATATGGTAAGTGATTGAGGTTGATTGACAGTTGTGGGGGGAGATGTGTGCCACATGTGGAAATTAAGACAGTTGAGAAGTATGAAACATTGTTTATGAATGAAATTGCAAGCTGATATCAATATATGGTTCCTGGATGCAGAGGTTCTGTTTTGTATATAAGGGGAAGGAGACAATTAGTGTATGTTAGTTAAGGCTAGCACTTTCTGTTACAGGTCAGTGTGGTCTAACTTCTTTTTTTTAGAAACCCAAAATAAGAGTGTAATTATGTCAGTATCTTATTAAAACAACTGTCTATATATATAGAACTGGAAAAAAATTAAAAGAAGAAAAGTTAATGTTTATGATAATATGCTGAAGGAACTGAGTTTAATTTTACCTGTTTATTGAACTTTTTTTTATTCTTTTGTGCGTGCTTTTAAAAATAAAACTGTTTTTGACTTACAAAACCTACTTCATCTTTTATAAGTAGCAGTCCTAAGATGATATACCCACTGAAACCACTAGTCAGTGTTATGACATGTAGTATTTGTGGTGCCATCAGAGTAAACAAGGCTGTGTTTCACCAAAAACAATTCTTTTAAAAATGGCAGTGTTGAGTTAGCTCTCAGCTCTGGCACTGTTGAAGCAGCAGCATAAAAGGGGGCAATGCCTGTCTTCCTGAGTTACTGACAGGGATCTCTAAAGGAAAGAATCCCTGTCCACAAGTTCAAAAGTAGTGATGGTTGTGAAATGAACCATGAAGTAACAAACAAACAAAATCCGCAGGCTATTTTCAGGGAGCTTCAGGGAAATGCGCTTGCCCAGAGTGAAACAAAATGCTGAACTATTCATACGTTTCATTTCTAGGCGAGTCATCCCTGGCCAGACAGCCAGGTGTCGTTTGATCAATTCCCTATAGGCAAGGCTGGAGTGGACCTAGAGAAAACTTTGTGTAGGATTCATTGCCAGGTCAGGTAGTCAGTCATGGAGCTCCAGGTCCACTCTCTGAGAGTAGCTGGCTATAGGAGTCACACCCTGGGCAGCTCAGCTGATGGTTTAAATTTTGCAGCAGCCAGCATGAGAAGAGGCCACTTAGCTAACTAGTCTGTCCTGCACCCTTTCTTTTACCTCCCCAGTTCACCTCATGATGAGCAACATCCTGTCTCAAGTTCTCTCACACGAACCCGCTCATTTAATTTTTCCCAAGTCAGCTACTAAAGAGCACTTTCCTGGGGGTTACCTGCCTTGGAGGGGGGGGCTATAACCTGAGCATCCCAAATCCAATCTTTACTAGACTTGGGTGTGTGTGTGTGTGTGAAGCAAAAGACTCGCTGTGAGTTTGGCGTCTCTAACTCATGGGGGCGGCAATGTTCTACGGCTCCTTGAAGTCCTGCATTGCACAAACCATGAAATGGTTTGTTTCCTCAGAAAGCTTGTGAAAATTCATGGTTTGTGAATAGCTACAAACCATAATTTTCCTGGTTAGTGCCCATCTCTATTCAAACAGCTACCCCAAACTTAGTACAGGAGTTTGAGGCAATTGTTTGTTGTGCGATGGCGCACACAGGTAGGGAAAATATGTGGAGTGACCACTTAAGACTTGGAGTGAGTGTCTCAGTGCCAATGATCTGTTGGAATAATTTCCTTGCAAGATTTAGAGCAAAACTGAACGTATCGTAGGTTGAAAAGAGCTTACTTTGGGAAAGTGGACACAGGATTCCAGTTCCCAGATTAGATAGCAAATCAGAGTGTCTGGGATAGGGTTGAACTAGAGCTTTCAGTGTGGGCAAAGTACTCAAATACCCCCAACAATTTTCATATAAAAATAGGAAGAGACTACTACAAAGCAAGAAGAAATGTTCTGTGTTAAAAAAATAACTTTCTAAAGAAAAAATATTTAGGATACAGTGGGGTGCAAGAGTGGGTGCAGCCCTCCAAGGTCCATGGGTAGGCATGTGTGGGCCTTGGACCACAGGAGGTTGCCAGCCTTGCCCTACAAGCAGCTCTTAAATGAAAGGGCATCTGGACATATGCGGAGGGTTATTCTGGCTTTTTTTCCCATTCATCACAAAAAATATACATTTCCCAAATAGATCCCCCCCCCCAGTTTTATTTACATTTTCCAATCGTTCTAAATAACTGGGTACTCTAAGGCTGCTGCCAACTGTAATCACCAAGTCAAATTATCTGTTACCAGAAAGGAAAACTGATTGCAAATTGTGATGATGGCAGGGCTGTTCATCCAGAGGCAGAGAGTAGAGAATGCTTCTTTCCCTCCCATCTTTTTGTTGTTGTTCACCCACCAGCTGAAGACAAATTAAGAGCAGACTTTTCCCACGGACTCCTTCTCTGTGCACTATTTTCTAAAGTTAATGCTCTGTCCCAAGTGTGAATAGAACGCTTGCTCTAATGCTAAAATATTTAGTGTCATTTCCAACTATAAATTTTTTGCTGTCTTTCATACGTCTTATTAGATTTTTTTTGATTTTTTTTTAAAAAAATGCTTAATTAGGCCTAATTCTCAATGTTGCTGTTTCGGAGCCAATTCTCAAAACTATTTTCAGTACCTTCCAGAGGAGGAGTCATGCTGTAGGAAAACCATGT